CCACCCCAGAAGCAGCCACCAAAGTGGGGGAGGTGTTTAACCCAACTGTAATAATACCAGGAGGCCTGGTAGACAGGGAGATGCAAAGCCCCCTGAAGTGCTGCAGTGTCCATCCCTTCCTATCCTGACTGTGGTCCACTAAGCTGTGCTGAATTGGGCAACAGGAGGAGTAAAGGGGCATACTACCAGGCACCCAGTGCAGAGCTAGGCTGCCCTAATCCTTGCACATGGAAAGGGAAAGGGCCAAGACTGTCTGTCCCCTGACAGGTGGGCAGATCTTGATTTGGGGGTGGGTGAAGGTAATTAATCCCCCTTATTAATACCTGTGTAATAATTTGCACAAGCACTGGTCCTTCTCTGCAACTATGCACCAGGACAGAACTAGGGATAAAAATCACACCTTTAATTGTCAAGAAGACAATCAGGGGAAACTTTTCTTCTTTATTTTAACTCCATGTCAGCTCCCAAACACTAGATCCTTCGTCAAAAGATGCAGAAGTCCCTCAGGATGAAGACAGGAGATTGTTCCAACATCTTACAACACAAGTCAACTGGAAGTCTTTGACTTCGAAAGTTATATTTGCAAAAGCAGCTAAGAGACTTAGGAACCCTCAGAAAGGTAACATATATTTTAAAGCTGTTGGTTTCTTAGTACTCCTATGAATTCTGCAATGTTTTACCAGAATGGATGGCAACCAAAGGCAACACCATCGCAGAGAAGCCACATCCAGGATCCAGGAACTGCTGCCTTCTAACTTCAGGCCTCGGGGGCCGGCGTTTCAGAACAGATCAGCACCAACATCCACTCAAAGTACTGAACAATATGGAAAAGATCCCTGCTCTTGTGTCTCAAGCCAGACAAAATCAAGACAGCCAAAATATTCAGCCCCTTTTTGACTGCCAGCTTAAATCCCACCAGGCCTTCAATTCCCAATGAGAGACAATCTTTTTGCAGCTCCGCAAGCGTATGTGAGCATTATTAAGTCAAGCTTTTACATAGAGGGCTCAGCCAAACTATGCTATGCTATAGCAACCAGACTGACTTTGTAAAATTTGCAGTCAGAAAGCAAGGTATCACAGCCCATATTAAACATGCCATGTCTTTGGCTGGTTTGCAATGTATGATGGGACTGCAGTGGCTCTGCATAGCTGGTCAACTGAACCATACCTGGCTGTCCTGTGTTACTTTACCCTGTCCAGGCGGGTTGATAAGCTGTTGCGTAAAACTAAATGTACGTGCTCCAGCTGCACTATAATATTCTCCTTTTAATAGCACCACAAATCCACCATAACATTACTGTTTCCTAAGGGTATCATTACTCCACGGGAGGGGTATAATTTGCACAAATATAATTTTATCTCAAAAAAGGGGGAAAAATGAAGAACTGTTAGTTACAGTCCTTCACATTTACTTATCTGAGCCTTTCCAAGGGTTTTATAGGTATCAATTAATTAAGCCTCACTACACCCACGATTCTCTCTCTGGCGCATCGGCCAACTCAAACCCCAGTTACACAGCAGCTGATGCAGGGCTGCGGCTGAAACCCAGGAGTCCTGGGGACGAATCCCCTCTGGACCCCATGCCCCTCAGACCCCACAATGGTCCATCTGCTGCTGTTAATATTAAGGATCCAGTACTGCACAGTTCAGCTCTAAATTGCCTTAAACAATCACCCGAGGATCCAGCACAAAGCAATTTCCTATTACAGGTGTTGGAGGGGGGAGGAGAGGCTGTTAATTAGAGATCGAACACAATTAAACTGAAAGCAGCACACGGAAGAAAGGAAAGTTGAGCCTTTTTCATCAGAGTTTTTTTTTTCCAATGAGAAATTTTTTTTTTGGCTAAGTTGCTGTTTCCCAAACTCTCCCAGTGTTGCATGCTCCTCTCAAACCCCATCAAATAGGAAAATTTGTTTTTATTTTTTAACCTTTCACCCTTTTTTTTTTTTAGCAAAAACCTGAATTGTTCCAATAGAAAAATACCATTGAAAACATTTCCGTTTCTTTGCCTTTTCTGGCTGAAAATGCATTCCTTTTTTTTTTTCTTTCAATTTGCCCTAATAAAGATACATCCAGGTAGTCACTTAGGCCTGGACTCTCAAATCCATTTACATGCCATTGTCTTCATTCAGATTTCATTGTATTTTACTGCCTCCATAAACAAGATTTTAAAAGTTCCAAGCATGGATTAGAGCTTGATTCAGCCTCGACATGGACTTTTGGGAGACTTATCGTTAATTTTATTTAATTTTTTTCTTGCTGATGACAATCTAACACAGGTGGTGGTCCCTGTTCATTGGTATGTAAATCTGAGGGTTTTTTTTCCTGTGTGTTTTACCATGCTATGCCCTTTCTGCTAGGCATTGATACTATACCAATTGCTAACAGATCTACTATTGTCTCCATCCCTGGGTATCACAAAGCAAAATCCAAAGCCCACTGATGTCAGGCTCAGGATGCCTATAGCATTTACATAGTAACAGGCACAAAAACCCAGCGGTGCTACTGGATCAGGCCCATCCTGCGGGCAAATCAGATTTATTGCAATCCAGGTTCTGATCTTGGCAACACCATCATCTTCCAACCTTACGCCTTTGGGATCTGGGTAGAATTTGGCCCTCAGAGATGAGCAGATGCTGCTGTAACAGTATACAGACAATCCTTTTGTTACACCAAGACTTGCCCACCAAGTTCAGCTATTTAATGTGCATTTGCTAGTTAATGTGCATTTGCTGGAAAATGACCTTGCAATTCAGATGAGGTGGGACCAATGGGTGCTAGAATTGTTACACACTGGCTGCTATTTCTGGGTTCAAATGATAGGTGAGGGGTTGATAAGTGAAATAACCCGTTTTAGGACCTGAAGGTGTAGCTGGGCTTGGCAACAGATGAATCAGGACACCGTCCAGAAGGGGTGTCTCCCTGCCATAATGCAATTAGGGACCCTATAAAAGAGCTCAGGTCTCTGGCTTCTTCCAGCGGCTTCACTGAATCACACTGGTTCCCACTGGTGAGTCGGGTAAGTCAGCTCTTAAAAGAGCCTTCTCAGTTGCACAGCGGGGAATTTTTATTAGGAAATAGTTAATCCTGATGCCTGGGTGACAGTGAGGATCTTGCAAGATAAACTGCAGGGAGCTTTTCTGAAGGCCTTAAACATTTGTCTCTAGGAAAATGCTGTTTTGTTTGATTCATTCTGCTAGATGCAAACTAATGGCAGCGCTTAGAAAGCAGGTAGTGACCTTTGTCTGGGGGGGGATACAGGTTTCTGTGCCTCTCTCTGGTTCAAACCATGAAGTTAAGGGAACAGAGAGGAGGATTTGATGTGCAATGTATGCATGTGGGTGTGGGTATGGCTAACACAACATTTCTAGATCAAAATCATCAGCAGCAATCCCTCGATTCAAGGATGATCTCTAATGTGGCTCATTGATGGGTCCAAATAAAAGGAAGTATATGGACCAATGATGATGGCAGTTGCCTAGATTTTAGTCTAAGCTGTTCTCTGCCACTAGCTCACCCTGTAATCTTTCAAGGTCACTTTTCTGCTCTCTGACTCACTTTCCCCATCTGCCAAATGGGGCTAGTGAGCCATTTTCCTGAAATGGTTTGAGAGTCCCTGCAGATGGGGCTGCATAAACACAAAATGTTATTGTCACTGTTGTTAGTGGTGTTGCAGTGGCTCAGTAAATTATCAACAGGAGATACTCTGTGTCTTGTCGAGCTACCCACGCCAAGTTTGGTGCAAGAAACCAGACTACTTTGCATCTTGAGCTGAGGCCATGCAGAAATGAGTTTGCCCTGAGATCTTGTGGCCTGTTATAAACTGGTTAGGGGGGATCAGCAGGCGCTGGGGGAGTCCCTGTTCCCCCGAGTGCCACAAGGAGTGACCAGGAACAACAGTCACAAGCTGGCAGAGGGAAGGTTTAAGTTGGACATCAGGAGGCG